CAACATTTTTGGAGTAATTTAAACAATGGCATATCAAGCAACTAATCACTCATCTCTTCACTTCTGCGCATAAATGAAAGTGTCTTTACGATTGAACTTTCACTTAGTGTAATATACCACAATAAACTCGAATTCCGTAGGTGTCGAAAACGATTGAACCTACGTAATCCTAGTTGAGCTACCGCGTATACACACACACAGAATCAATACAATTTCTTGTACTCCTTGACACTATATCGGCCATGTGTCCATATCCCCTTCACAAGCACATAGATGTCGAGCCTCCAACATCTTGAAGCGGCCACACTTCATGCTTGCATAGGTGAATTCTTTCAAATCGTGCTCTGCAACTAAGCACTTTGTCAAAGAATTCATTAAGTATAAACAACCTCTTTACGTTGCATACCAAGATGTTTACCTCAGGATGATTCACTTCTAAGCATCTACAACCACACATTAGAGGATTTAACTCATTGAACTCAAGATCTAACGTTGTATTAGACGTTGAGTTGAGATTCCTCTAATTGTGATTTAATCAATAGGCTCAAGACCCATCCCTATTTTCATTTTGTGCAACATGTCCCTCGAGAAACTCTTGGTAAGAGCATCAGTCAAGTTTTGTTTTGTACGCACAAAATCCACCACTATGGCCTCGTCTTTTATTAGACCATTCACATAGCTATGTCGTAAACCAATATGTCTAGACTTCCCATTATACACATGGCTATATGTCTTAGCCAAAGTTGTTGCACTATCACAATGTATTGTGATAGGCGATACCGGTTTAGGCCATAATGGTATCTCGAATACCAGATTCCTTAGCCATTCTGCTTCTTTTCCGCAGATGCTAAGGCAATAAACTCCGACGCCATCGTCGAATCGGAAATGCAAGTTTGTTTCTTGGAAGCCCAAGAAATCGCAGCTCCACCTAATAGATAAAGCCAACCACTCACCGAGGCATGATCCTCCTCACTTGAGTTCCAACTCGCATCCATGTATCCTTCTAACACCGAAGGTTGACCCGTGTAGCGAAGATCGTAATTTATGATCTGTTTCAAGTATCGAAATACTCTCTGTACAGCATGCCAATGATGTACGTTTGGGTTACTAGTGTACCTACTCAACTTACCAACCACGTATGCATGCTATGTCGGGTCTAGTGCTAGTCATAGCATACATTAAGCATCTAATGACACTAGCATATTCAAGTTAGGATACCGGTTCCCCTTTGTTCGCTACCAATTTAACATTACAGTCCATCGGTGTAGAAACAAGAGTGCTATCGTAGAGATCAAAACGTTTCAGAACTTTCTCAATGTAATGAGATTGAGAAAGTGAAATCGTACCATGATCTCTTATTATCCTAATTTCAAGGATAACATCCGTCTCTCCTAGATCTTTCATCGAAAATTTCGATGACAAGAATTCTTTTGTTTTCTTGACTTGCTCTAATTCCGTACTGAATATGAGCATGTCATCCACGTATAAACAAATGATAACCCCATGACCATTCTCGTCAAACTTGCTATATACACATTTGTCCGATTGATTCAGACATATTTAGCCTCCAGCGAGTCCCACAGGGCTTTGGCGGTATCTATGTGTTGATATACATCAAAAAGTTCATCGGACATACCGTTAAGGATGTGACCGCAACACACGTAGTTATCAATGTCCCATTTGTTCCGCACGCGAGCCGCAACCAATGTCTCCTCTTCGGTTTCTTCCGGTCTAGGAGTGCTTATCACGTAGACGGACGTTCAGCGTCGTCAAGAGGAAATGCATCTTCTTCTGCCACCTTCGGAATCTCACGCCCTCGAACTTATCGAGTTTATGAAAGTCTATGGTTAGGGGTGTAAAATGGGCGGGTCAGGCCGGGTTCGGACCGGGTTCAATTCGGGCCTAGAATTTTTTGGGCCGGACCGGCCCGCCCATTTATTTTTCGGGTTTAGGATCGATTGCCCGGAGCCCGGCCCTACAGGGCTTCGGGCGGGTTCGGGCCGGGCTTCGGGTTTTTTATTAAATAAAAATATTTTTTTGCGATAATAATAATAATAATAATAATAATAATAATAATAATAATAATAATAATAATAATAATAATAATAATAATAATAATAATAATAATATGAAACATTCAATAAAAATAATTTTAAAACCGATAACAACAAAGTCATTTAGTTCACAAATAAAAATAAAATTGAAAAAATTATCTAATTGTTCAATTCTCCAACACCACAACATGCGATTAAAAACTTTTAAACGTGATAAAAAAAATAACAAACATAATATAAAAAGAAATTCTATGATGTAATTAATTTAAAACCTATAGAAAAAAATCAATATGTTTATATACAAACAAAGGTTTAAAAATATATATATTTGAAAACTTTTACCCTTTCTAAAATGTAAACTTATATCAGCGTTGTCCCTTGAACCGTAGTATATATTTAGGCACACATATTTATAAGTATATAGAGGTAAAACTTTGGTTTAGAAAAGAAGGTTAGAAAAAAAAATTAACGGGCCTCAAGCCCGGCCCGAGACCCGACTGGCCCGGCCCGACCGGCCCGTAGCCCATTTGGCCCGAGGTCCGAAAGCCCGAAGTTTAATGAGCCTATATTTTTTAGGCCCATGTCCTTATAATTTTCGGGCGGGCTCGGGCCGAGTTTCGGGCTCTGGGCTTAATTGACATCCCTATCTATGGTAAGATTTCTCACAGAAGTAGTCATCCTCGAGTGGATAACGTTTTTAGATTGTTAGAAATCTGGGATATAAAAAGAAGAACAATAACAGAAAAGTAAATAGGAACCGGATAACTCTTCAAGGCGTGATACACTTTCCTAAAAACGTTATTCCGTCCTATACGAGCAAAGGACTTTCCGGAATACGTCTTTGAGATACAATGAAGAGAGAAGTGATCTTAGTTTGCTCTACTAAGAACACAAACACAAGAAATTGCAAGAAGAAAATGAACAAAAGGCTTTTGTGGGTGTTTTGCAAGAACAACCACAAAAATGTTCTCAAATCTCTCAAAAAACGAATTAGATCTGTTCTATCTCGTGTTAGGATGTCCAGGGGTGTTAATAAACACTCCAAATGTCGAAAGGTGTGAAAAAATCGGAAGTTTTACCCCAACGGTCGCGATTTTTCGCTCAATCCGAACTGCTCAGAAAAAACGGGCTGCCCGCCCGTTTTGTCGAGCTACCCGCCCGTTTATGTCTGAATTGCTCAGAAAAAACGGGCTGCCCTCCCGGTTTTTCCGAGCTACCGCCCATTTATTTATGAGCTTTAATTCTCAGAAAAAACAGGCTGCCAGCTCATATTTTCGAGCTGCCCTTCCATTTTTTCTGAGATCACCTTTACGTTCAAAACCGAACTTAAACTCTTTCGACGTATCCTTAACACTTAGCCAATTCATACCACGTCTTTTACAAGCATTTATCTCCTCCACCATACTTGTAATACACGTGAAACATGAATCCTTTTGAGAGATTCTAAATTCCCATTCATTTACTCTAAAGATCAATGGTTCCCTTGAAGTGTAAGCCAAGATCAATGGTTCCCTTGACATATCCCCAATACCCTCTTTGCTTGCTTGAAATGTATCATCTCCAGTTTGCTCATGAATCTTGAAAGGTAACTTGCAACGTACATCAGATCCGGTCTTGTGGTCGTTAAGTACAACAGACTTTCTACCATGCTTCGATATTCTTTTGCATATGCTTCTTTCTACTCCTCCATGTCAATGTTCTTACCCTTCGGCTCAAGTGGTGTATTGACCGGTTTACAATCAGACATCTTGAATTTCTCCAGTAATTTCTTTGCATAGCTTCCTTGGGATAAGAAAACTCCATCTGAACTTTGCTTTATTTCCATACCCAAGAAATACTCCATCT